GTGAATCCTCTTTTAGAAAAAAATTGTTGCTGCACCTCAAGATTCAATGTCAAACGGCACTAGCTCCATAACGTCACTTATTCCACTGAACAACGTTAACCATCAGGTTTCTACACTATCCCCTCTGTCTGCCCATTGCTTTGAGACTTATTGTTTTGATGTATTGACCGAAATTTTAAACTTTTAGGTTGGATCCTCTGCAACTAGTTCAGTGTGTGACAAAGCAGGTGGTATAGTGTGTGAAAATGCTGTTGGTTCTCAAGGACTGGTTCTTCATGACTCAGTAAATGGATCTTTGAATATGGAGAGTCTTAATCAAAAGTGCATGAAAAAATCAAAAAAGAAGTTTTTGAAGTATCAGGTATCAAGCATGCATGCCCGCTCAACGTTCCTTTTCTTGGCATACTTAAGCCTAGAAAGAAGAGGAATCACAAAAGAAGTAAACGTCGCACGTCCGGTTTGAAGAATCCAATTAAAGGAAAGTTGGATAAACATGATTTCTCATCTGATGTTGGGCCATCTACAGCTGAAAAAGTTGATGAATTTCCCTGTGTGTCAACTACAGCTGAAAAAGTTGATGAATTTCCCTGTGTGTCAAGTTGTTTCGAGAGTAGGGAAACCAAGGCTGGTTATAAAGCTGGTGCTAATTTTAAATCTAATAATGAATCTCCGGTAGAAAATACTGCTGAAGAATTTAGGAAGAGAATCAATCAAAACTGTGCCATTCTTGCAACAGCCATGCAATTAGAAAATATATCTGGGTGTGGTTCAGTAGTAGACCAATTTGAAGCTAGACAAGCTGATAGTCTGCAAGATGGTAAAAGAGATCAAATGCATAATAGTTTAATGAGTATGCTCACCCGAGGTCTGGAGGAGACAGTTGGTAAGTTTCTATTGATTTTCTCTCCCAGTTTTTGTCTGGGATAATATGTGAAATTTGTGTTCCAAATCCATGTAGTTTAATCCTGCTCTTGTTCTGTGCAAAGTGGAGTTGCATATATGTGGATGTGCTGCCTTTGGATTTGTACTATGATAATATACTCGAATATGATCAAATCAACATCAACAACACATTTATCCCAAATTAATTGGGGTCGGTGGTAGATGAACCCAAATAAAAGATACGAAAGGGTTGAAAAAAGATAAAAATAAAAATAAATAAATAAAGTAGTATATATATAAGTAATAAAAGAAGGGGATAGAAGAAGAGGGGGAGATAAAGAGGAAAAGGACTAAAAATGGACCTTCTGGAGCATAGGAATATGATCAAATAAATGCATAAATGTGCTTGCTCATTTTAGTGTCTAATTATTCTGCTATAGTTGACCTAAAAATATCAGTATCCTTGTTTCATGAAACACGTTATTTTGGGATCTCTTTAAGTTTAGATAATATTGACTTATGAGGGAATAACCCAAGGAAAAGGGTCCCTAAACTGTGAATTCTCTAAAGTGAGCAAGTAGTGGTATATCTACCCTTGAATTTTAGTGGATTAAGATAATGAAGCATAGATACGCCTTTACTTTCCAGATAATCTCACTTTAGAGAAGTCTATCCATAGCTCAATTTCATTTATTCAAAGAGGGTGAGCCTGAAATAGTTGTAAAGTTGTTTGTTTGTGATTGAAAGGCCACATGTTCAAATTCGGGAAACATTCTCTTTTCAATTATGCAAGGGTAAGGATGTGTTAAGGATTGCCCTCACCTCAGCCTCGCTAGTGGGAGTTTAATGGAGAGTGATTTTTTTATCTGATTGTGGAGGGGTATTAATTAATGGGTATTGGATGAGTGGAAGAGAATTCCAGAAAAGGGTGGTATTAATTTGGAGTGGGAAGAAAATTCAAGAAAAGGGTGGCATGTAAGTAATGAGAGAATCTAATGTAGGGAATAGTAGTAGACAAACTTCTGGCTCCTTAATCTGGTAATTTTTTTAATTTAAACCATTTACTTATCTTTTGAGTTTTGGGTAATAATATAATCTTCACAAGAATTGAAGAATGGTCATAATCCCATAATGATTTTGTATTTATCTCTAATTAATCACATAATGTGGACTTCACCGAAGTGGCTATACTGTTAGTTGTGATCCCTCTATGGTGGTTTAGGGGTTGCTACGATGCCATTTGAGATTGATAACTATAAAGTGGGTCTATCTAGGCTATATGATGGGGGCCAGTGAGTAGTGACAGCAATAGTGGTAGTGGCCATGATGGACCTGGTAATGGTGTTGGTATTGATGGTGGTAACTATGGTTCTGGGTTGCTCTTAATTCTAATTTTTGTTGTATAGGTATTGTGGAATGAAAATGCTCTTTTTAGAGATCTCCTAACTGAATCAAATATAGTTATCAGGGTATTAGGAATTACTGAACTGCTTCAAGTAAACCAGACAAATATTTTTAGTGTTTGAATGAATAAAATTAGGGGATTATTTTTATTATGTTACATAACATAAAACCATCTTCCTTCCTACACACACAAATTTTATATGGGACCCACTTTAAGTTTTTCTCTTTTTCCTATTCTCTCTCCTCTCTCTTCCTTTTGTGAGAGTAGGAAGTTTGCTTTTATGTTATGTTACATAACAAAAATAATTCCCATAAATAATACTTGAGTCACTTCCCCTCCTTTTTCCTGTACTTTTAAACTCTTGGCACCTTTATGCTTGACTTATAACACTTCTGTTATTAATTTGGGTGCAGTTGCAAGTTGGGATGACATAGAATTACATTCATCTCAGTCCTTGGAGTCAAAGAATGACCAGATTGTCAGCATTGGATATGTAGGAGATGAATGGTGAGCTCAGCCAAATGTTGTTCCTTTCTCTCTTCTTTTTTATTTATAGTAATTTGGAATATATTGGTTTGGGCCTTCCTCTGTCATGACCGACTCTTGGAAGAAACATTTTTCCTTGAGTTCATGGTTTCAAAGTGAGTTTTTCTCTCTTAAGGAGAGGAAATATGGTATTTTTTTTTTTGAGTTATGAAAAGTTATCATTTTCAACAATTTATTTGTGGGATTAGTTTTTCTCATGTTATAGGAGTTAATTTTATCTCCTACACTCATAAAAGTGTGTGGGACCCATATTTTCTTTTCTCTTGTTTCTTCTCACATGGCTCCAAACACTTTTATGTATGTGTATGAAATAATTTTATCTCCTACAATATAAAAAACATAAATCTCTTTATTTGTACCTAAAAAGTACTTTCTTCTACGTACTGGATTTCTATGTTAAATAATCACAGCTTAAGATTCAACTTTAGGCTTCTCTAATGTCCAAACAATGATGTTATGATTGCCTTTACATAATATGTTGCCTTGTAGATTCGCTTTTTGACCTAGGAAACTTTTTAGGCTATTATTGGTATGTGTTTATACATGAAAATGGAATGGAGTTTTTTAGTGTATGCGGGAAAGGTTTTTGTCCAGGTTCATTGTTAAAATCTGCTCTTCTTCATCCAGTTGCAATCTACCAAATATTATTATAGCTGTTAATCACAATGTTTGATATTTTGGTGGGGGGAGGCTTAGGATTTTTCATCACTGACTGTGACTGGACTATTCTAATGAATAACTTCATATTTATAAATTTGTATCTTTCCACCTCTAAATTTACAGGGATGAAGAATATGATAAGGGGAAGAGGAAGAGGAAGAAGATAAGGGGCTCCAAGCACAGCTTTAGTGGACCGAATCTTTTCCAAGAAATTGCTACCGAGAAATCCAAGTTTAAAAGGGTAAAGTTGGATCAATCTAGCTCAGGGAACCCGCCGTTTAGGATGTCTGTGGACTTTTTGTAGCAATTGTCGATTTGTCAAACGCTGAAAGTGTAGTGAAGAGAGCACCTACCTTGTTCTTTTTTAGCAGTACAAATTATTTTTTTTTTTTTTTTTTTTTTTTTTTTTTTTTTTTTTTGTAAATAACAGTACAAAATTTTTGTTTGCACGATTATTTTATTGTCTTTGGGGCCGAGCTGCAGTGGGATGGGTTTTCTATGCACTGGTGTACAATTTTCATTGTAGACAACAATGAGCTGTACATTCGAGAAGTGAAAAATGTAACCCATTGTGTTTCTGTTTTAGTTGCTGCTCGTAGTAGCCCAGAAATTTTGTTTATAAATTTTATATTTTTCAAAACATTTGGTACTTGCGTTGCAAAATGTGTCTGTTTCTTGTACTGGATTTTTATTTGGCATTTGGTTTGAGTTTGAATTAGATGGTAAACATGTTAAAAATTAATATTATATAATTAAATTTTAGGAGAGAAGAGATTATTTGACGCTAGTGTCTAACATAAAGTCTGACTCTGATTTGTAAGTATTTTGATCTAATTGGCAAAGATATTCCCAAAGCATAGAATGCTACTAAGCTGCGGAGATATTATAGCAAATGAGGCCAAACTTTGCATTTGTCTTTTTAGTACTTCGCTCTCCTATCTTTCTATTATATGCAAAAGATAAGGAGACTTGTGATTGCTCTTTATTTTTTTAAATCAAAAGATAATGATTTTTCTTTGAGATTTTGTGTTTTTGTTACATGTTTCGATACATGCCTACTTCAACACATCTACGACAACCCATTCAAGTGCATTACCCGCAAGCTCAGCTAGCCACCAATAACTAATAATTCAAATACAACTACACAAGTAATCTAAAAGATATACTAAGATTGTGAAATACCAAGAAGGAATGGAGATATAAGTATATAATCATAAATCTCTAATTGTAAGTCAGTCTAAAGAAAGCTCGCAGTGTTAACAAGAAGATAAAGATATTAAATATATTATGCATAAAGTTGTACGGGTCGATATACAATTTGTTGCTTGTTTTTCTACTTTCTTTTTTCTTTTCTTTTGTTTTCCTCTTCCTTTTTTCTTTCTCTCATTTTTCATTTTTTTCTACCATGGAACCTCTTCATCTACTGCAGTATTTGTGCAGTTTGTCCAAGTTCCATGTTCTTAATATCTGACTTTCCATCTAAGGTTTCTAAGGTTTAGGCTCCTGAACCGATTCCACTTACCACTCGGTAGGGGCCTTCCCAATTTGGGAAAAGCTTCTCTTGCAGAGCAATTTGATTGCCAATATCTGTGGTGGAGGACCAAGTCTCCCTCTTCAAAGCTTCGAAGTATGACCTTCTTATTGTACGCAGAGGATGCTCCTAGTTTGAGGCAAAGTCTTTCAAATGATTCTTTTTTCTATATTCATCAATTAGATTGAACTCTTCTATCATCATTTGTTCCATTTTTCTCCTTGGGAGCATGGTTTTTGCACCAGGATGGTTCTCTTATTTCAACTAAAATCTCTTACAGGGGTTTCATGAGTGTTAGGGTAGGTAGTTCTTTTGTACCCTGTCGAGCTGCTCGACCCACTTGCCTTTAAGTTCTTCAGCTCTCTTTTTGAGGCCATTAGTTAACACTTTATTAGCTGATTCTGTTTGTTTGTCCGTTGGTTTCAGGGTGTTCTACTTAGGAGAAACAATGTTTTATTTGTAGGCTTTACATCAATTTTCAGAAGTTGGTATCTAAAGGAAGTTGTGAGTGAACATCTTAGCTTTCTATTCATGTATTGGTCATTTAAATACATCTATCAGCAACTAACTATAATACACATACGTAGGAATCTATTCCTAAGATAAAGGAAGAGTTGCAACTAAATTACAAACATAGAACAAACCTATCAACAACCTAACAAACCAAGTAACAAACTAACAAGGGAAACCTATCGTAATACTCCCCCTCAAGTTGGAGCATGGAGGGAGGAGATGCCCAACTTGGACAATAAAAATTCAAATTGTTTTCTTCCAAGAGCTTTTGTCATGATATCAGCAGGTTGAGAGGAGGTTGAAATATGCTCGGTTGAAATGGTGTTCTTCATGACATGTTCGCGAACAAAATGACAATTGAGTTCAATATGTTTCGTACGCTCATGAAAAACCGGATTGGAGGCAATATGAAGTGCAGACTTACTATCACAGTATAACGCCATAGGCATTCAGTGATCAACACCAATATCTTTTAGAAAACCTTTGAGCCATAAAATTTCAGCAGTAGCTGCAGCCATAGAACGATACTCAGCTTCTGCAGATGAACGAGAGATGGTATGTTGTTTCTTCGATTTCCATGATATAGGTGAGTCTCCAAGTGTAACAAAGTAGCCAGTGATGGAACGACGCGTAATGGGACAACTTGCCCAATCAGAATCACAATAAGCTCGAAGAAGAAGATCACAGTTTGAGCGAAGAAGAAGACCTTGGCCTGGATTCCCCTTTATATATCGTAACACACGCAAAGCTGCATCATAATGTTCTTGCAAGGGATGCTGAAGAAACTGAGAAAGAGTACGAACTGCATAACTTAGTTCTGGTCGAGTAATAGTGAGATAAACGAGACGACCAACAATACGTCGATAGCGTGTAGGATCTTCAAAGGCTGGACCATTTGCCAGAGCCAATTGATGATTTTGATCTATAGGGAAAGCAGCGGGCTTGCAGCCAAGTAAACCGCATTCATTGAGAATATCCATCGCAAATTTACGTTGGCTAAGGAACAAACCGGATGAACTGTGAGCAAATTCGATACCAAGGAAGTATTTGAGTTTGCCAAGATCTTTAATTTTGAACCATGTTTGGAGATGCAGCTTAACTTGATCACAAACAAAACTATTATTGCCAGATAAAATTATATCGTCAACATAAATTAAGATTGCAACGAAATCATTATTGTGACGAAAAGTGAACAACGTGTAATCAGCCTTGGATTGCTGAAAACCGAAACTAAGAAGAGAAGCACGAAGCTTAGCAAACCAGTTGCGTGGGGACTGTTTGAGACCGTAGAGAGACCTTTGTAGCTTGCATGCCATTCCTGGAGATCCTTGAGAAAAACCTGGTGGAATGCATTTTGAACATCTAGTTGATAAATATGCCATCCTTTGGCAACAGCAACGGAAAGAAAGGTACGGACGCTGACCATCTTAGCAACCGGAGCGAAAGTTTCATCGTAATCTTCGCCTTCGATTTGATTGTTGCCAGCGATGACCAATCTTGCTTTATATCGCTCAATAGAGCCATCAGAATTAAATTTGATGCGAAAAACCCATTTGCAAGGGATAGCCTTTTTGCCTGGTGGGAGAGAAGTGACAACCCATGTGTGATTATCTTCTAGCGCTTGAATTTCAAGTTGCATAGCCTGTTTCCAATTTGTATTCTTCATAGCTTCTTTGAATGAACGTGGTTCCGAAGCATTACTAACAGCAGCCAAAAAATGTTGATGCTGGGAAGAAAATATAGAATTAGTAACAAACTTTTGTATAGGATAGGAAATACCTGAGGGGACGTTGGAGAGAGTGTTGGTAGAAGGGGGTATAGTAGTGTTATGACATTGATAATCTTGAAGGTAGGCAGGTGGTCGATGATTCCTTCTAGTCCGAAGAAGAGGTGCAGACGTTGAGGTTGCTGGGACTGTAGCTGCAGTTTCAGATGAAGAAACTGGTGGAGAAACGACAGCCGAAGGACTCCCCCTGTCTGTGGGCATCGTGTCAGGTTGAGGAGCATCATCAGAAGAAGCAACGAGCAGTGGTGTGTCATGAGTACATGAGTCATACAAAAATGCAGGTGGAGAGATGGTTGGTGTGATGACCGGTGAAGGATCATGATCAGCGGAAGCAAATGGAATACTATCTTCAAAAAATTGTACATCACGAGAAATAAATGTTTCCTTTGTATCCAAATCGAAAACTCTCCAACCTTTTTTGTTCGAAGGATAGCCAATAAAAACACACTTACGAGAACGGGCAGCAAATTTATCAGATGGTTTGGGCAAAACCGTAGCATAGCAAAGACAACCAAGTAACCGAATATGATCATAGGTTGGTGGTACGTTGTGCAGAACTTCAAAAGGGCACTTTCCTTTGAGTAAGGTAGTTGGAATCCTATTAATCAGATGGGCAGTAGCAAGGATACATTCTCCCCAAAAAGAAAGAGGAAGATGGCCATCAAAGCGTAGAGCTCGTGCCACATTGAGAATATGACGATGACGTCGTTCAACCCGACCATTCTGTTGGGGCGTGTATGGGCATGAAAATTGATGTAGAATACCACGGTTTGCGAAAAAGGAACTCAAAGGAGAAGAGATAAATTCAGTGCCATTATTAGATTGAACATTCTTAACTGTGAAGTTGTACTGTGTTTGCACCATTTTAATAAAATTAATTAACGTAGAACAAGCTTCATGTTTGTCACGAAGGAGATAAATCCATACAAAACGGCTACAATCATCCACAATCATAAGAAAATAACGTGCACCTGAAGATGAAACAGTGCGATATGGTCCCCATAAATCACAATGAATTAAATCAAAAGGTTGAAGACTATGCTTTTTATTGATATTAAACGGAGTACGAGTTTGTTTGGCTCTACAACACACATCACATGGAGCCATTTTATTGGAACCAGAAACAAAAGGAAGCAAATAAAGATAATGCTGTGAAGGATGTCCCAAGCGTCGATGCCACAGAGTAGATGAAGTTCCACCAGAGACCTTATTTGCAGAAAACGCTTGATGAAACACATACACCCCTTCATGTTCAACACCCTTGCCAATCGTCCTCCTCGTCTGTAGGTCCTGTAGAAAACAATTGGAATCAGTGAATAAAGCGATGCAATTGCTGCAGTGTATTAACTGAGAGATAGAAATTAAATTGCATGTAAGGGATGGCACATAAAGAACGTTGGTAAGAAGCAACGTAGATGTGAGTTGCACATCCCCACATTGGACCGCAGCGGTACGGGTTCCATTGGGTAAACCGACTGAGCACGGAGGAATAACTCGGATATTAGTGAGGAAGGAGAGTGTGCCAGTCATATGTTGTGAAGCCCCACTGTCCAGAAGCCAAGGATGTGGGAAGGAAACAATACCCGATAATTTGTCAGTTGTTGCTTTAGATGAGACAGCAAGAGACATTAATTGTTGAACCATATCAGGAGTAAGATCAGTAGCAGACAATGGTTTTGGGACACCAGTAGGAAGAGGTAATGCATCCGAGTAAGTGGCATGAGCAGAAGCATGGGCAGAACGTCCTGGGTTGGAGCGGCCGCGACCACGTCCTCTTCCAGCAGTCATGCGATCAGGGTAACCATGAAGTTTGTAACACCGGGAAGCGTCATGATTGGGACGTCCACAGTGGGAACATATGATGCGGGCCTTGGAAGGATCCAGTGGTGCAGTGTGAAGAGCACAGCCGAGAGCATCAGATGGAATTTCAGCAGTCCGAACCATAGCCTTATGGGATTCTTCTTGAATTACCATAGCAAAAACACGATTGATAGTGGGGAGAGGATTGCTGTTGAGAATTTGAGTAATGAGAGTACCATATATATGATGATCAAGTCCGATAAGGAATTGATAAACTCGATCATGTTCGAGTTCAGCAGTGACAGATTTGGTAAAGGCACACGTATCACCAGATGCACATGCAGTAAGCTTGCGGCTTGATTCCAGTTCATCCCAAATTGAACGAAGTTTAGTGTAATAGTCAGTAACATGGACGCCATTTTGCTTCATAGTGGCGAGAGCAGATTTGAGAAAAAAAATACGAGGAATGTTTGCAACAGCAAAACGTTCCTTTAGATCATCCCATAGATTCTTCGCAGTGTCGAAACATTTGATGAATGGCTGCATCTGAGGATCGATGGTATTGTGAATCCAACTATTAATCATGGAGTTGCACAGGGACCAAGCATGAGCTTCATCAGAGGAAGCATCAGAGGGTTGCGTAACACTGTTATCAACAAAGCCAAGCTTATTTTTGGCTTTCAAGGCGTTGCTCATGAGTTTGGACCAGTTTTCATAATTGGATTGGCCACGTAGAAGGACAGTAGTGAGAATAACCCCAGGGTGATCAGAGGGATGAAGGTAAAATGGTGATTTTGGGTCTGTGATTTTAAGAGTGGAGGCAGCCATAGTGGGAAAAAAAAAAACTGACTTTAGAATCGTCTAGCTCTTGATACCATAAAGGAAGTTGTGAGTGAACAACTTAGCTTTCTATTCATGTATTGGTCATTTAAATACATCTATCAGCAACTAACTATAATACACATACGTAGGAATCTATTCCTAAGATAAAGGAAGAGTTGCAACTAAATTACAAACATAGAACAAACCTATCAACAACCTAAAACTAAATTACAAACATAGAACAAACCTATTAACAAACTAACAAACCAAGTAACAAACTAACAAGGGAAACCTATCGTAATAGTATCACTGAATTACTTGCTATTGTTTGTAAAGAGGACGCCCAAAATGCTGAATCAGCACACCACAAGTTATACTTTTTTTTTATACAGATCTCGGAAAAAAAAAAAGATAAGTACGTCTGATGAATTTTTTAAAAAAAAAATAAAAATAATAAACAAAATCTTTGGATTACCATCAAAAGCGTCGGTGAAAGCAGCCAATTTGGCCTGGAAGCAACAAGCAGGTTGTGAAGGAATTTTTTCCTACGATGGATAACTAAATAAGTAATTAAATATTTGAGTTTCTGTGCAATGTTATCTGACTCTAATATATGTTTTCTGTTATATATATATATATATATATATATATATATATATATATAGGGAAATGATAGTCTCATGCTACATAAGATATCTATCTCATGTCATACACCCATAGAATTTTGTGCCAATCTTTTCTTTTTTTTTAAATTGTGGACCCTACATATTTGTATCACTCACATGAGATAGTACTCTCATGTAACATGAGATTAATAAACCCCATATATATATATATATATATATATATATATATATATATATAGGATAATACTTCTCTCATTTAACATGAGAGAAGTTCTTTTTTCTATACTAACAAGAAATGTGGAGCCCATAAGTTAAAACAAAATAAAAAAGAAAGAATATTGTAGCCATTTCTTTTTATGTCTCTGTGATATGAGATAGTTATCTGCTACAGTTGGAGAAAACAATTTTCCATATATTATTCATTGGTTTATCGATTCTTCAATTAGTTCTATTTGAGTCAGGTAGGACTGCATAGGCGATGAAGTTCTCCCTACTAAGTTTAAACACAATTCTCAAAATTGCGTGTTAAGATAAAACAATCACTTACCAATTAATCCATGTATTTGGTGGTTCTATTTTTTATTTTCTAAAGTTAGTTTAAAAAATTCGAGCATTTTGTAGCCTCTATAACCAAAATTGGAATCTAATTTTCGGATTTTGTATTTTCAATGGTGAAAATTACTTACTTGGATTTTGAATGCTGAATTCGGATTCAACGTAGGCAAGACAACTTTGGTAGTGCAGACTCTTTAATTTTTGTGAAGAAGGCGAAATTAAATTTTTTTTTTAAATCTACAGTTAAAAGAAAAATAATTTTCTGAAGGTTGGCGAAATCACATATAATTTAAAATTTACTTCCCACCAAAATTAGATGTGAAAGACACAATTGCGAAAGACGGAGGAGCGGGATCCCACACTAACAGATAAAAAAAAAATTGTTACTTCC